GTCTAGAGAACTGAAAGAATCTATTACTTACACCTTGAAGTGTTATATGTGCTGTAACTTAAGGAAATATCTCCATGCTAAAAAACTTGGGTTGTAAACTTGGAAATTCTGTGAAAGAAACTGATGGATCGTTTCTTCATCGTCAGAAGCCCCCCCCCCAGTGGCACAGCGGTAAGTCTGCGGACTTACAACGCTAGAATCCGGGTTTCGATACCCGCGGTGGGCAGAGCACAGATAGCCCATTGTGTAGCTTTGTGCTTAATTACAAACAAATCATCGTCAGAAAGAGTATAATATTTATGGCGTATTAGATACATGACATATTTTGAAATTATGTACAAGTGCCCCCTCAGATTTAACAGAATTCACAAGGCAAGGAACAAAACTTGAATGGAGGTACACGAAAAACATTTTGAAATTTAAGAAGAAAAAGGACACCGGTTGGGTAATGAATTAGGTCTCGAGCTTATACAGTGAGTTTGGCAGCAAATGAATGTCTCTCTTGTGTGCCAACAGCTACTGATTTTCTTATGGGTAATGATAAACATGATTATTTTAATTAAATTAACCTTTTAAGCAGTTCCATCTATTGTATTACTGACGTCATCATGTGTTATACTGACTACACTCTAAAATGTACTTGGTTCTTTTACTGTTCAATTTGATGATTTTAACATTAAGTATTGAATGCTTTTTTTTATTTGTTTATTTTTCTGTTGATCATTACAGTTAATTCGGGCCATTTCCACTATTGTATTTTAAGTTTCTCGGTTTAGCAATTGTAAATTATTTCACTTGACCTTGTTTTTCTAGATAATTTTATTAACGTTACGTATCTGTTTGTTTGTTTGTTTCCGCAAGAAATTCCTTCCGAGAATCTTCAGCGATACAAGTCCTTTCTTGATTAAACCAGTTTATTCTTCCTCGATACAAACTTTTAGTACACATTAGTTTCACAATCAGTACGTTTCTGGTCACTTTAAACTGAACAACTATTATAATACACGTTATAAATCACAGCGATTCACAATCTATCTCCCCACTGGCTTTTCTGCCAGGCTTATGTACTAACGAAGAGGCATCTCTAACATTCGCGGACTTCCCTGATAATTCGAGAAACTCCTCACTCACGCCATCAGCGTCACTGACTTCCGCTCTCCTAATATTAACATACAGTTTCTTCTGTGTGAAACTTTTTCGTAAGATTACGGTTTAATGTACAGAAAATTTCTGACAATATACATTTTTTGTACCTCTCTTAAGATTAGATATTTCTTTCTGTGGTTACTTTTATTGTATGTAAACTACCTGTACATGAACATCTAAATATGCTTCAAATTCATTTCGAGTTTGCAATAATGAAAAAACTGCCAGTTATATTTGACTTTGGTGTTTGTGTGTATTATGACTAATCTCTACATGGGACTAACTAAATGGTCAATGCTTTTTCTACTTACTATTATAAAACAAATGATAATATAGAAATAATTCCTTATAAAATTAAAATTATTCATTTCAAATAAACACTGAAATAAATACTGTAAACTGGAAAGATATTGAAATTTCATGCCTTCCAGATGGCCTATAGCGATAAGTTTAATAATTTAACATACTGAAAACGTTATCTAAAGGCATTACGTCAGATTGATCTATATTGTAAAAACAGTACACAGATGGTAGATTGTTTATTAAAAGTCACAGGTTCCCTACCTCTTGGAATGATGAGAGGCCTAACTAGTTTGACTGACCAGTAAATTACTAACAACCTAGTAATTTCATAATAGTAAGTTTGATAACTTAACATACTAAGAACGTTGATCTATTTCGTACAAACGGTACACAAGTGGTAAGTTGTTTCTTAAAACTGACCACATTATCAGCAGGTTCTTTCAAATGACAGGAAAGCTGGATGGCCAAAAGTGCAACTTTGTCATAGATTCTGCATCTCAGCAGACCCTTGTGAGTGTCAAGGTGCTAGATCACAAAGGAATACCAGAAGCCATACAGAAGCTGTGTGGTGTGACAGGACATTATACAAGGTTTTGGGAACCAGAGTGACAACTGTTGGGCATAAAGGACAGACACAAAGTATACTTGGCTGATATTGAAGACCAATGCATATTAGGGTTGGACTACTTACTACCAAGGAAGTGTGTAATTAATTTCGATAAAATGACGTTTGGGAACAACAAAGGCCAAATTCCGGTAAGTGTTAAAAGAGAGGTTGAACTAATCAGGTGCCATCAAGCTGAAGTCAAAGTGACTGAAGGAGTTGATGACGGTGAAGTGGAACCAAATATAGATATTAAAGCAGAACAGGAGAAAGACCAAGATTTGAAGCCAATAATTGATTTTCTAAAAGCAAGTGTTTTGCGCCCTTCTTGGGAGAAGGTGTCTAGCTTAACCCCTGTGACAAAGAACTATTGGGCACAATGGGACCAGTTGAAGCTTGAAGATGGTATTCTTGTCCAGAGATAGGAAACTGCAGATGTGAAAGTGACGATCTGGCAAACAGTTATACCAAGAAAGTTACGGGAAGTTGTACTGCATCAATCCCATGATAGTTTAACAGGAGGGCATCTCGGAGTTAAGAATACATTGAGTCACCTACGACAGAGATTTTACTGGATAGGTATGAGGCAAGATGTGGGAGAATGGTGCAGGATCTGCAGTACATGTTGTGCTAAAAGGAGATCCAAGCATAAGGGACGTGCTCCAATGAAGTTATATCAAGTTGGCGCACCAATGGAAACGAGTAGCCATTGACATTGCTGGTTCGTTGACCCAAACTCGTGCTGGTAACAAGTACATTTGCATGGTGATGGATTATTTCACCAAGTGGCCTGAGTCATATGCAATACCAAATCAGGAGGCTACAACTGTAGCTTCGGCTATTCGTGATTTCTTCTTCAGATTTGGTATGCCATACAAACTGCATTCAGAACAAGGCCGTAACTTCGAAACTGCTGTGTTCTAAGAATGCTGCAAGTTGTTTGGCATACGAAAGACCAGGACAATGCCACTTCATCCACAGTCTGATAGGATGGTAGAAAAGTACAATTGGACACTGGGACAGGAATTGACAAAGTTTTGTAATAGCCGCCAAGATGACTGGGATGTCTTACTCCCTCCACTGTTGATGGCCTATAGAACAGCAGAGCATGAAGCCACTGGATACACTCAAGCAAGCTGATGTTTGGTCGGGAACTTCGGTTGCCAGTGAATCTGATAAAAGGACGCTCACCTTATGAAGAGTTACCTGAAAATGTGCCAGAGTTCGTGTAAGTGTTATCTGAAAGGATGTAGGATATTCACCATCAAGTGCGGTCAAACTTAAAAACTTCTGCTGATTCCATGAAGCTATGTCATGATAAGAGATCTACTGAAGTCAGCTTTGTACCAGGAGACAAGGTGTGGTTGTATAATCCCAGGAAGACCAAAGGGAAGTCTCCTAAGTTGTCTTCTCCATGGAAAGGCCCATATGACATAGTGGATCGTCTCTCAAACGCGACTTTCCGGATAAAATGTGGACGGCGAGGTAAGCCAAAGGTGGTGCATGCCAACAGGCTTTGGCGTAATCACAGTCCTGGACATTTCAGTTGGAACAAAAAGAACAACAGAACAAATGATGCTGCTGAAGACGTGTCACCTGAAAAAGCCACTGTCGAAGAAGAAACTCTACTCGGTTTGAGAAATGAAACAGTGAAGCCCTTGATGAAGTTACTACCACTTATGTGACTATTACCGATAATAGGACATTTCCTGATGGAGCAGATGAACCCCACATAACGCAGAAGCCAACGAGATGGAGACCCAGACAGAAGAAGATACGTCCGTCCCGTAAAATTAAGAGACTTTGTTGAATTTTAATTTTGTGTTTGTAAATTATGTCCATTTAATTAAGTTATTGGTAATTTTATATTGGTTTAATGTAAGTGGCTATTGTTCGGGACGAACAATACTAAGGAAGGGGCAG